TAGGCCCTTAGTTTTTCCCTATTGAGGATAATGCTTGCCATGGGTTTGTTGTAGATGGCTTTGATTGTCTTGAAAGTTCCTTCAAAACCCATTTTGGTGAGAGTTTTCATCATGAATGGGTGCTGGATCTTTTCAAAAGCTTTCTCTGCGTCTATTGATATGATCATATGATTTTTACCTTTACTTTTTTTGATTATGTTGATTGATTTCTGAATGTTAAACCATCCTTCCATCCCTGGGATAAGTCCCACTTGGTCATGGTGTATGATCTTTTTGATGATTGTTGGATTCTCTTTGCTAATATTTTGTTGAGGATCTTTGCATCCTTGTCCATCAGGGATATTGGCCTATAGTTTTTTTTTTGTTGGTGGTGTCTTTGTTTGCTTTTGGTATTAGGGAGATATGTGCCTCATAGAAGCTCTTTGGGATAGTTCCTGTTTTTTCAATTTCCTGGAAAAGCTTGAGGAGAACTGACAAAAGTTCTTTAAATGTTTGGAAGAATTCATTAGTGAATCAGTCTGGGCCTAGGCTTTTGTTTTGGGGAAGACTTTTGATTACAGTTTCAATTTCCTTGATATAAATGGTTCTATTCAGGTATATCTTGGTTCAATCTTGGGAGATTATAGGAATCCGGGAATTTATCCATTTCTTCTAAGTTCTCTTGTTTCGTAGCATACACACTCTCAAAGTAGTCTCTGATGATCTTTTGAATTTCATTGGTTTCTGTTGTGATGTCCTCTTTTTCATTTCTGATTCGGTTTATTATGGTTCTCTCTCTCTTTCTTTGTGAGTCTTGCTAGTTGTTTATCAATCTTGTTTATGTTCTCAAAGAAACAGCTCTTGGTTTCATTGACCTTTCGGATTATTTTTTTGATTTCCATGTTGTTAATTTCTACTCTAAGTTTGATTATTTCTTTCTTCCGGTAAAATTTGGGTTTATTTTGTTGGTCTTTTTCTAAGATCTTGAGCTGTGAGGTCAGGTTATCTATGTAGGCCCTTTCCTCCTTCCTTAAGAATGCTTGCAAAAAACCACAGCACTCAAAAGGAGAGAGATAACAAAAGGGAATGCCCTGCCACAGTGGTAGGGTGGGATGGGGGGAAGGGAGGAGGGATACTGGGACTGGTGGTGGTGGAGAATGGGCACTGGTGGAGTGATGGGTATTCGATCATTGTATAACTGAAACCCAAGCACAAAAATTTGTAAGTCTAAAACTGTACCTCATGGTGTTTAAAATTTTAAATGGTAATAAAAATTTAAGGGAAAAAAAGAATGCTTGCAAAGCTATAAATTTTCCTCTTATCATGACTTTAGCTGCATCCCATAGGTTCTGGTAGCTCGTGTCTTCATTCTCATTTCTTTTCAGGTATCTTTTGATTTTGTCCTTGACTTCCTTCCTGACCCACTCGTTGTTCAACATTGAGTTGTTTAATTTCTAAGTGTTTGATTTATTTCTCAGTGTTTTTGTGTGATTCGCTTGTATCTTCAATGCATTGTGGTCTGAAAAGATTGTTGATACTATTTCTATCTTCCTGATTCTATTGAGGTATGTTTTGTAGCCTAGCATGTGGTCTATTTTAGAAAACTTTCCAAGTGCACTGGAAAAGAATGTGTATTATTTCTTTTGGGGGTGTAAAGCCTTGTTAGCCCTATTATCCCTCTCTCTTCTATTTCTTCCTTCAAAGCCAATCTTTCCTTGCTGAATTTTGTTCTTGATGATCTATCCAGAAGTGATAAGGCGATGTTGAAGTCTCTGACTACTATTGTGTTGCTAGTAATGTCTTCTTTAAAATCTGTTAGCGTTGTTTTAAGTATTTATCTGGTCTCTCATTAGGTGCATATACATTTTTCTTATATTTATTTATTGAGTCACTTTGGGAAAAGTTGCAAAGCTTTCAGGTTTAAGTCTTGGTCATACAATTATCAAACACCTTTCCCTTCACCAGTACTCATTTTTCACCACCAAGAACCCCAATATACCCCCTTCCACCCCTCCCAATGCCTGTGAGGCAGACGATTTCTACTTAACTCTTCTCTACATTGATTACATTCATTATTTTAACAAAAGATCCACCATTATTGTTTAGAATTCCCCCCACACAATCAGAATTGCTGAAAAGGCATTGTGAAATAATTTGTTTTCTATAGCTGGTTATGAGATTCATATAATTTTGCGCAGCTGCTGTGGATTTCTGCAAAGAGCCAGATAATTACGAGATTGGTTTCTGTGCATCTGGTGTTATGGTTGTGCCAGAAAGCCGTTCATTGGGGGCAACTCGTGGCCTCGGTAGGGCGTGAAGGAGGAGCCGGTACCATCCCCCTTCCCATGAGACTGCCGTTGCCCCATCACCGCCGGCTCATACCTGGCTTTCCTATAAGCTCTGAGGCGGTGGCCACCTTGTTTGTGGTCCAGATGCATTTCTGCCAAAAGTCGCTGGGTTTCAAGATTTGTTTCTGAGTCTCTGGGATCATGGCCGTTAAGCAGCTTGATCAGGAGCCAGAGAGGCCATTTGCAGGTGACAACTCAGGGTCTCGTTGGGATGGGGAGGAAAGGGCCGGTTCCACCCACATCTGGTGAGGCCCTGCGTGTCTCATCACTGCAGGCCCAAACCTGACTGTCCAGTTGCCTCTGGAGGATGGAAGTCACTGGGCTGCCAGGAGGAACAGGCCAAGGCAGGAAACCTATTCCCACCTGGAGTGGCCCAGCCCCAGTAACCTACTGCAGGAACAGGATGCATTTCTGCCAAAAGCCTTTGGGTTCCTAGACTTGTTTCTGAGTCTCCTGTATCATGGCTGTTAATTAGTTCTATCAGGAACCAGAGAGGTCATGCCTCCAATCTTATAGCCGATCCGGAGGTGGTTTGTGTGTGTGTCTCCCACATACCTAACTTTTGGCCGTTTACTTTCTTGGTAAACATTGCCCCAAGTTTTGGGGGTCTGGCCAAAGGGACAGCAGCAATTTTGGGGTATCTGAAAGTCTAACGTTGCCATCAGGCTGCTGATGCACTTGCTTCACAGGTATACAGATTGACCTGCTGGCGGAACCATACCTCCAGGTGCATATACATTTAAAAGTATGATTTCTTCCTGTTGTATGTATCCCTTGGAAAATAGAAAGTGGCCTTTGCTGTCCTTTCTAATCCTTTTCAACCTGAAATTTATTTGTTGTATACTAGTATGGCCACCCCAACTTTTTTGAGGGAACTGTTTGCTTGCAGGATTGTTTTCCATCCTTTAACTTTGAGTCTGTGTTTGCTCTGACTTTTCAGATGATTTTATTGTAGACAGAAGAAAGTTGGTTTCAGTTTCTGGATCTATTTTGCCACTCTTGTCTCTTGATGGGTGCATTTAGACCACTGACAGTGAGAGAAATTATTGTCATGGGGTTTTGTGCCATCTTTCTATAGGGGTTGGTTGTGCTTATAAGTGTTTTCCCTTAAAGGAGCTCCTTTAATCCTTCTTTTAGGTTTGGTTTTGAGTCTATGAAGTTTCTGAGCTGTTGTTTATCTATAAAATGGAGTATCATTCCATCGAGTTTGAGTGAGAGTTTAGCTGGATAACGTATTCTTGGTGATGCTTTCATTTCATTGAGTTTTTTTCACTATATCCCATTACTGTCTTCAGGCTTGGAGGGTTCCTCTGATAGATCTTCTATAAATCTAAGGGGTGCTCCTTTGTATGTGATTTCCTTCTTTGACCTTGCTGCTTACAAGGTCTCTATCCATGGCATCCATCATTCTGACCATGATGTGCCTTGGAGTGTTTTTATTAAGGTCTCTTTTAGCTGACACCCTTCTGGCTCCTTGGATCTGGAAGTCTGCATTCTTTATCTCTGGGAACTTTTCAGCAATGATTTCTTTGACTGTGGCTTTTTCATTGGTGTTGCTTCCCTGTCCTTCTGGTACTCTGATGATTCTAACGTTGTTCCTCTTGGCTTCTTCCATAGGTTTCTGATTCACCTTAGTGCTATTTTGATGTCTTTTCCCATTGTTTGTTGTTCCCTATACGATTTCTGTTGCTCATCTTCAAGCTCACTAATCCTGTCTTCGGCTGTAGTCATTCTATTGCTGAGGACACCCACGGAGTTTTTAATTTCATCTACTGAATCCTTTATTTGTGACACATCTTTTTGTAGCTTTTTTATTTTTGCTCTCATTTCTTCCTGATTTTTTCTCGACTATCTGTTCCACTTTTTCTTTCATTTCTTCCTTTAATTTTCTGAATGCCTGATCCATTGATTCTTTGAGTAATTCCTTGAACGTCCTCAGCATTTCATCTTGGAATCCTTTATCGGAGAGAACATATTTATGGGTAACCCCTGTTGATGATTTGGAAATCTTTTCTTTGTCCTCTCCTCGTAGAGGAGATTTGCACTGTTTCCCCATGTTTTTGTGGTAGTCTAGAGGTAAAACCTTGGAATTCACTAGCACTGTTCCCTCTTATTGGGTGAAAGGATTCTGAATAAGGTCAGTTGATGGGGGTCACCCTTCTCCACTTCTAGAATGTGTTCTTCCTCTCAGGCATTATTCTGTGGCTTATGACAGGCATCTAGTGAAACGTTGGAGGAAATTCTCTTTTATATTGGGCTTGTACAGCTTCTTTGTGTACTGGTCTTTTGTTGGAATTGAAGTAGGCAAGTGGATTATTGTCGTATTGTGGATGAGATGGCCAGGACTTTTCCCACAGAATTAGGTGATAAAGCCTGGGATGTGAGTCAAGAGTGCTGGGAGTGGGAAATATAACTGCACCTGCCACACAGAAGGCCATTCCCACTTTTGAGAAGGCCACGACTCCTACGGTGGAGGCCTCACCCCCAGCCAGTCCCAGGGGCGCACTGACCTAGGAATCTGCAGAGGAGGGAACTACCCTGAAGAGGTGTGCGGGCTGTCCGGTGGAACTCGGGCTGCTGCTCCCCAAAGTCTCCCACGGCTGCCCGATGGTGGGGGCGTGGCGTGGGGGAAGGGGTGGGGCGGTGGACAGGGACACGTTCCCCAGCTCCCAGATGAACCTGCAGAGGAGGTCAGTGCCGCGTCGAGGTCCTGAGTTGGTTTTTGATGAAGCAGGGCTGTCAGCTGTAGAGTTTTTGAATAGGGGAAAATCATACCTGAAAGTAAGAGGGATACCCCCAGTTGGCATGCTTGGGGGACTGGGAAACTCTCATATGCAAAACATAAACTCCAGGATTTTGAGCCATTTCCATGACCCCAAGAGTTCCAACCTCCTCAGACCCCCCCACTTGGCCTTTTCCAGGTCAGGGGATACTAGGGAAGCCATGTGGGTTTGGGACGAACCAGGACTCTATGAACGATGGGCATGAGCTCCAGCCCTTTATTATATCTCCCTGGCTCCAGCCCGAGAATTCTGAGTATGATGGACATATGAAGAATGTTGGTAATGATAATACTCAGGGAAGAAATGATTAGGAGGGGGCTCAGGGACAGTGCTATTACTTTAGGTAATATTTTGGTGCTAGTCAGTACACATTTTAATGTCAGTTTTCATTTTTAAAGTATTTTTAAAAAATTAAATCGGTTACAAAGTTGTTCATGATTTGGTTTCAGTCATTAAATGTTCCAACACCTGTCCCTTCGCCAGTGTACATTTCCTACCACCAGTGTCCCCATTTTCCCCCTGCCTGTGTCTATGGAAGGCAGTTTTCTTCCTCTTCTTTCTCTCTCTCTTTGGTCTTTATGGTGTGCAATACAGATACTGAAAGGTTAATTTGATGTAATTTTAAAATATTTTAGCATAAGGCAGCTGGAGTGGAAGAAAGATGTCCTGAAAGATGTGTGAGTTGGGAAGGGTGGAGGATGAGGATGGAATGGGGATGAAATTCTTCCTCCCATTCTCTAGTCCTTGAACCTTCTCCCTGCCCAGTTGGGGAGAAGTGTTCTGCTCAGTGCCATCCTTGTCCCATGTCCCTTCTTTTCCTGGTGATGGGGCGGCTGCTATCCTCTGGGGGCGGGGGGGGGGGGCGGTGGGGGATGACCTCCTACACAGCAAAGATGCAGTGTGACTGGCTCCAGGGCTTGTGTGCATGCTCAGATTCAGCCTCCTGTACCCTCCCTCTCCCCCTCAGGTGTGGGCTCTGCCCCTCAAGTGCACATCACAGGGCCCTAGGAGGATGGGGTCCGTGTTGTGTGCAGGGCGGTGGACTGGTTCCCCAAGCCCAAGGTGCACTGGCGAGACTCCAGTTTCTGGCCTTCTCAGAAACCCACACTCAGGACTGAGGGGCTGTTCAGCGTGGAGGCGGCGCTGGTGGTGAGAGACAGCGACATGGGGAACGTGACCTGCTCCATCCTCAACCCCATCCTGGACCAGGAAAAGGCCATGGCCATATTCATCCCAGGTGGGCTCTGCTGCCCTCTCCCGTGTGGGTGCTGGAGCTGGGGGGTGGGGGTGGGCATTTCTGGGGGAGCTGGGCTGGGCTGTCCTGGCTGTGCCCTCATGGTGTCTCCTGGGGGCCACAGAGCCCTTCTTCCCCAAGGCCTCTCCATGGAAACTGGTCTGTGTGGTGTGTGTGACCTTGCTGACATTCCTGGTCCTTGGTGCTGCCTATTGCACATGGAGAGAACATTCCATAAAGGTGCTGGAGAGTCAGCAAGGAGAGAAGCTGCGCCAGGATCGGGAGAAGGATGAGCAGGCAAAGCAGGCTGCACTGGAGGTCATAGGTAAGTCAGGACAGGCCCAGGCCCGGAGTGACCCAAGGACTGTGGGTCAGAGTTCAGAGCTCTGGCTCCATGATCACAGAGCAAGTGGCCCAGGAGTCCTCAGAGGGTAGAGTTACCCACGGACCCTGATGGGTTTGGAGTGGAATTTCATGATATAGATATATATTTTTTTTGTTTTGGTGGATTTTGCAGGCCCACAGTTTTCTGCTCCTCAGGTAAGGGAGTTCATGCTTTTATTTTTCATATTCCTTCACGTGAATTACAGGCAAATTTAGGTGAGTTTTGTTCCAATTTTAGTATATGTGCTGCCTAAATTAGCACCTAAATTAGCACTAATTTAGGTGAGTTTTGCTTTTCTTCAAATTCCTGAATCTCCTTCCTTAGAGGCCTCGTGGTTCTGAGCTTACCTGTTCCTGTTGCCTTCCAGACAAGAGGAAGACTGAGTACTTGGCTGGTGAGTGATGCTACAGGTGCCCTGTGTCCCCTGTCCCACCTGTGCCCAGGTGTTCCTCTCCCTGTGTGTGCTGGGGACACACATGTGGTTATTACAGGAGCCAGATGAGTTTAGGAGTGTGACTCCCACCCTTCTCCCAAAACAATACCAGGGGAGAGTCTGTCCCCTGAAGTCTTTGATGTGATGGTCAGATATTGATGGAAGATGGTCAAGTAGTGATGGGATACCATCAAATAGTGAGGTCAAATGGCTGGGGACTTGGTTCAGCAGCTGTGGGAACGTGACGGGGTGGTGGCTTCATTATTTTTTCTTTGCTTTTTGGGTCACACTGGCAATACTCAGGGGTTACTCCTGGCTCTGAACTCAGGAATTCCTCCTGGCAGTGCTCGAGGTACTATATGGGATGCTGGGAATTGAGCCCTGGTCGGCCGCGTGCAAGGCAAATGCCCTACCCGCTGTACTATGGTTCTAGCCCCGGGATGGTGGCTTCAATGCTGCAGATATTGTCTGAGAAAGTTCACTGCCCCAGAACTCACCTCTTCTCCTGCCTTAATCATTTCCCCTTTTATTTCTCTAGTATCTTTTCAAGAGAAAAACTGAATATAAAATTTAACACATAATAATTATGGGATAGTTAATGTCTTATTCTCTTAAATATTTGAACATGTAGTATAATCTACAAAGCCTTAGTGGCAAAACTGAACGAAGGTGGCAGAAGCATTTCTTACAATTTGAAGCTAAAGCAGCTGGCCACAACAGGACAGGGGGGATCAGCCTGTTATACAGACTTCCTGATCGGTGTCCTGACCTGTGTCTGCACATGGCAGGAGCTCCCCCACTCCAACACCTCCTCTTCTGTCACCCTGACATTGAAGATCCTGTAACTGTCAGAGAGGGTGTGGTGCTGTACCATAGCCTGGGCTGGGCAGGCTGGTTGGCTGAGCTCTCACCTGTGTGTTACCTTTTAGCCTGGAGGAAGGCCCAGCTGTATGCAGGTAGGTGCTCTAAGTGTCCTATGACTCCTCACTTCTGCCCCTTCTCTACCCAAGGACCCCACGGAAGGAAGGAGTCACTGTCAGTTTTGTAGCCTCCATCTGAGGGCTGCAGGAACAGTCCCTAGGGCACAGATCTGCCTCCTGTGACTCTCTTCTTCCGAAGGTCATGTTAGGGTGAGCAGTCCCCTCAGAAAATACTTTTTTAAAAAATTTCTTTTCTTCTCCCATAGTTTTCATACACAAATGCAACGGATTTCTCTAGGCAATTTGTAGTGTCTCTACAGTAGATTCATTGTTTCTGAAAGTATATTTTACCTTTATTAAAGACTGATGCTGGAGCGATAGCACAGCGGGTAGGGCGTTCGCCTTACAAGCGGCCAACATGGCCGACCCGAGTTCGATTACCTCCGCCCCTCTTGGAGAGCCCGGCAAGCTACCGAGAGTATTCAATATGCCAGACACAGTAACAACAAAGTCTCCAATGGAGACGTTACTGGGCCCGCTCGAGCAAATCAACGATCAACGGGAGGGCCTTTACCTTTACCTATTAAAGACTGATATGAATTAGTCCAACTGTTTTTGCATCTATGTAAGCAACAAGACAGAAATGATGATTTCTCTGAATGAACATATCGCAGTGGAGTTGTTCACAAATTTTCACCCAACTGTGCCAAAAATGTTATTTCCTCTATTCTTGTTCTTGGGAGACAGCAACTCCCCCACAGAGGACATTTCAGGATTCTGCGAAATATGTAAGCTTTGCAATGGTCAGTGATCACTTATTCTTTCCAGGGGGATTATGAAGTCCAGAGAGATTATGTGTCACTGGGTCAGTGTTTGACAGAGAAATCTCTTCATCTTTAGTCATTTTAGGTCCTCACTTGGGAGAATTATTGAATTTGCTTGTTAAGATCTTTGGGTTGGTTTTTGGGGAGTAGAGGCACGTCCCATATGGCTGTTTGGGGACTATTGTGTTCTCCTTACTTTATCCGTTTTGATCACTTGTCTCTAACCAGAGATAACCCTGGTATATAGATTTTTTCTCATATTGGAGGTAGCATTGAGAGAACTGAGAGAATTGTCCTCCCGTTGTTCATCGATTTGCTTGAGCGGGCCCAGTAACATCTCCATTGGAGACTTTTGTTGTTACTGTGTTTGGCATATCAAATACATCACAGGTAGCTTGCTGGGCTCTCCAAGAAGGGCGGAGGAATCGAACTTGGGTCAGCCATGTTGGCTGCGTGCAAGGCAAACGCCCACCGCTGTGCTATCGCTCCAGCCTGGAGGTAGCATATGTGAATATATTAATTTTTTTCTGCTGCCTTTATGAATTCACTTATGTGGTTTAAAGCAAAACACATTTCCTATTTCCTTGCTCTGGAAGTTATATTTCATGAAAATGTGGCTAGGGCTGTGTCCTGTTTCTGGAAGCTATTGACATCCCCTTCTTTTCCTTTTTTGGGTCATATCCAGCAGTCTTCAGGGCTTACTCTTGACTTTCTTCTCCCAGATCACTCCTAGCAGAGCTTGAGTGATCATATGGGTGCTGGGGATTGAACTAGAATTGACCACATGCGAGGAAAATGTCTTACCTCCTGTACTAGCACTTAGCCCCTTATTTTAAAATACTTTTTATCATGTTTTACAATAGGATCAATATTTATGAGTCAGAAGGCATACCTACTGACCATAACCACCTTCAAAGTGCCAGTATCCTTCCACCATTGTCCCTAAGTCCTTTTCCTCCTGGAGGCAATTGTCTTTTCCTTCTTCTAGAGAACATCTTCGATTGTGGCCCATTTTCATCATCTGTATACCAGCAGCACAGAAGACTGTGACTCTGCTTCTGGGGTCACATCTAGTTGTCTGAACAAATCCTTGACATGATTTTGCTTTTAAGGATTCTTATGATTAATTCTATATTACTCAGGATGATGTCTACATCTCAATATGTCTACAGCCATACCACCCTGAACGCGCCCTATCTCGTCTGATCTCAATATTTATAATCTTGGTTTTTTTTCTTCTTTTTTTCTGGGTCTCTCAAGCAGTGCATAGAATTCTGGGATCTCCTCCCAGTCATTCTCAACCAATAGAAGCAGCAGGTCAGTGAGAATGTACAAGGATGCTGAGCTTCTTGAGCTCTTCAGTTCAGGCCACCTGGGCTCTGCTGGAGAGTAGTGGGAGTTGGTCCTTGAGAGTTATGCTTAGGGGAACATTTGGTGTTAGAGAGTGAGAATGAGCTGGTGTTTACCTCTAGTGAACATCATCTCTTTGACCCCATAATTTTAGTCACAGCTGTAAAATTTATATTTTTCATGGAATTAACATTTTTTCACATACCTTGGGATTAAGACCTGGGATTCCTTGGGGTTCTACTATGACAGAGATTCTCCTGGAAGCTTTCTGGTCAAGATTTGGCAAAACAAAGTGACTAGATTCAGTTTTGTTTGATTTTGTTCTCACTTATCTCTCTGGGAGCTTTATTCTCCCCCTTCCACACTTCCCTAAAGAGGTAGATAAATCAAATGTCTTTCCTTTCACAGAATATGTGTATCTCTTTGCGTTGAACCTTTCTTCTTCCCTTGAAACCTCTCAATTGCCTTCTAACTGGTTAAGAAAAATCTTTCCCTGTATCCTGAGTTTCCTTTACTTATGGATTACAATCATGATATAAGTGAAGCTCAGTCAAGGTGTAATTTCCTCCTATTGTTTACAGAATGAGACCAGTTGTAATTACTGGTTTTGGCATATTGAATACACAACGGATAGCTTGCCAGGTCTTCTGTGCGGGTGGAATACTCTCGGTAGCTTGCCAGTCTTTCCGAGAGGGATAGAGGCTTTTGGGGCGACCTCTAATCACCCTCGTAGGTGTTACCATATTTGAACCCTATCAAATATGGTACGGCAATTCCAGAAGATGGGTATTTAGTGTCTTATGATGGGTCTGGAAAGCATCCTGAAGTGTGGCGGCGGTTGGGTAGTGGAGGTAGTGTCGGTAGTGGAAGTCTGCCAGTGGGGTATTTATCTGGTCCCAGTAGGGGTACGGTGGGTCTTCTGTGTGCAATTCGATCCCTGGGTCTCTAGTGGTTGGTAGGAGCAGATAGGGCAGGGTAGGGTTGGGCTCCTGATTAGAATCCCTTTGTCACCTAAGGTTGGTGGGAGCAAGCAGAGAATCTCTGTACCTGGGTCCGTTGAGCCTGGAGTCCAAGGTCTCAGAGAGTTCCGCTTATCTTGTTCTGTGGGTCCCCAGTCATGCGTGAGTCTCAGCCGGAGCTGCCACGCGGGTCCAGAAAGCGTCCTGGAGTGTGGCGGTGGCTGGGTAGTGGAGGTAGTGTCCAGAATCGTTGGACATGGGAGTCTCCCGGTGGACGATTCCACAACGAAATTTACCACATCATATTCAATCGATGGTTTTGCCTGACCGATGTCGCTGTTGTCTCAAAATTCCGAACGGGATCAGACCACTGTCTCCTTCATGCAAAATTCTACTTCACAGAGCGGGGAGAAAGAGCTGCAAAGTTTAAAAAGAGAACTCCCAGAACGACCACCAACTGGGAGCTCTTTGGCACTATTGCAGCAACATGGGAAGATGCCATTGTTGACAACATAGACGAGGAATACAATCGACTGGTTCAGCACCTCCATGATTGTGCGAGGAACGCCAAGAGAGAGATAGCCACAAAAAAAACGCCTGTCTTCTAAAACTCTTGAGCTTATTCACCAACGTGGTTTGGCGCATGCCTCAGGCAACCGCAAGCTAACGTCCGAGCTCGCAAAGCAGTGCAGAGATGCGATCAAGGAAGACCTCAAAGAGAGAAGAGCAGAAGTGCTGGTAGATGTGGCAGAAGCCGGGAAAAGTATTCGTAATGCCCGCCTGTCCTTCGCCAACTACAAGACCAAGATGACTGCCCTCCGACGTCCTGATGGATCCATCACATCCTCCAGAACGGCAATGGAGAAGATTATCCATGACTTCCACTCAAATCTCTTCGATAGCCATGCCCACTTGCCGACATACCAAATTCCACAGGATGGATATGTCGTTCCCAATGTTCTCCCTTCCGAAATCCGACATGCCATTTCTTTTTTTTTCTTTTTTTTCCCTTTATTTTATTTTATTTTTTTTAAAGTTGTAGATTTACAATTTTTTGTGCTTTGGTTTCAATCATACAATGATCAGATACCCATCCCTCCACCAGTGCCCATCTTCCACCACCATGGATAATATCCCTCCCACCCCCATCCCCCCATCCCCCCAGTCTCTGTGGCAGGGCAATCCCCTGTGTTCTCTCTCTCTTTTTGGGTGTTGTGGTCTGCAAAAGAGGCATTGAGTGGCAAACATGTTCAGTCCATAGTCTACTTTCGACATGCATCTCCCCTCCTGGGAGGATCCTCCAAACATCCTTTATTTGGTGCTTCCTTTTCTATCTGAACTGCCCTTTCCCCCAGGATACCCGGCTGGCCTCCAAGTTATGGAGTAATCCTCCTGGTGCTGATCTCAGCTATTCTTGGGTATTAATCTCATACTTTGTTACTTTATATCCCCCAGATGAATGCAATCTTTCTATGTCTATCCCTCTCTTTCTGACTCATTTCGCTTAGCATGATACTTTCCATATTGTACCACTTGTATGTAAATTTCATGACTTCATCTTTTCTAACAGCTACATAGTACTCCATTGTGTAGATGTACCAAAGTTTCTTTAACCAGTCATCTGTTCTTGGGCATTCAGGTTTCTTCCAGTTTCTGGCTATTGTAAAGAGTGCTGCAATGAACAAACAAGTGCAGATGTCACTTCGACTATACATTTTTGCCTCTCTGGGATATATTCCCAGGAGTGGTATTGCTGGGTCAAATGGGAGCTCAATTTCTAATTTTTTGAGAATCGTCCATACTGTTTTCCAGAAGGGCTGAACCAGTGGACATTCCCACCAACAGTGAAGGAGTGTCCCTTTCTCGCCACATCCACGCCAGCATCGGTTGCTTTTGTTCTTTTGAATGTGGGCCAGTCTCTGAGGTGTGAGATGGTATCTCATTGTGGTTTTGATCTGCATCTCCCTGATGATTAATGATGTAGAGCATTTTCTCATGTGCTTTTTTGCCATTCGGATTTCTTCTTTGAGAAAGTTTCTGTTCATTTCATTGCCCCATTTTTTGATGGGGTTGGATGTTTTCTTCTTGTGGAGTTTAACCAGTATTTTGTATATCCTGGATATCAACCCCTTGTCAGATGCGTATTCGGTGAATATCCTTTCCCATTCTGTAGACTGTCTTTGTATTTTGGTCACTGTTTCTTTGGAGGTGCAGAAGCTTCTTAGTTTAAGATAGTCCCATTTATCTATCTCTGTTTTCACTTGCTCGGCCAGTGGCGTGGCATCTTTGAAGATACCATTAGCTTCAATGTCATGGAGGGTTTTGCCAACTTTATCTTCAATGTACCTTATGGTTTCTGGTCTGATGTTGAGGTCTTTAATCCATTTTGATCTTACTTTTGTACATGGTGTTAGGCAGAGTTCTGAGCCTATTTTTTTGCATGTAGCCGTCCAGTGATGCCAACACAATTTATTAAAGAGGCTTTCCTTACTCCACTTCACATTACTTGCACCTTTATCAAAGATTTGATGAGCATATGATTGAGAAGAGATGTCAGTGTATTCAACCCTGTTCCATTGGTCTGCAGTTCTGCCTTTGTTCCAGTACCATGCTGTTTTAATTATTACTGCTTTGTAGTACAGTTTGAAGTTTGGGAGGTTGATTCCTCCCATTTTCTTTTTCCCAAGAATTGCTTTAGCTATTCGTGGGGGCTTATTGTTCCATATAAATTTCAAGAGTGTTTGCTCCATTTCTTTGAAGAACCGACATGCCATTTCTTCAGTAAAGAAACGAACAGCATCCGGCCCAGACAAGGTCAGACCTGAACACCTGAAGAACCTGCCGTCAGTACTCATCAATACACTGGCTCGGCTCTTCACATGCTACCTGTCTGAATGCAAGGTTCCATCCCAATGGAAAACCAGCAGGACTGTACTACTGTTCAAGAAGGGAGACATCCATGACGTTGGCAACTATCGCCCGATCTGCCTATTGTCTGTCATCTACAAGTTGTTCACTTGAGTCATCCTAAATAGGATTGGCAGAACACTAGATGAAGGACAACCATGAGAGCAAGCCGGGTTCCACAAAGGATTCAGCACTATCGACTATATCCACACGATAACCAAGCTCATTGAGGTTTCTCGGGAGTTCAAGATGCCGCTCTGACTAATGTTCATTGATTTTAAGAAGGCCTTTGATTCTGTTGAGATGGAAGCGGTCATTGAAGCCCTAGCCAATCAGGGCATTCAAGCTCAATACATCAAGATCCTCCGTGAGCTGTATTGTGGATTCACAACCAGGATCTCACCATTCTACAAAGAAGTAATCATTGATGTCAAGAGAGGGGTTCGGCAGGGTGATACCATTTCACCAAAACTCTTCAGTGCCACCCTCGAGAACATCATGCAATGACTGGAATGGGAAGGAATGAGAGTGAAGATAGATGGTCGGCAACTACACCACCTCCGCTTTGCTGATGACATTGTTTTGATAACACCAAACATCAGCCAAGCAGCCAAATGCTGGCCGACTTTGACCGTGATTGTGGAAAGGTAGGACTACAGCTGAATCTTACGAATACAATGTTTATGAGAAACAGCCTCTTTCCTGACGCCCCATTCGCTCTCAATGGAGCGACCAACTCCGAATGCAACAGCTATGTGTACCTAGGTCGAGAAGTCAACATGACAAATGACCTGGCACCTGAGCTGTGCAGGAGGAAGAGAGCGGCTTGGAACGCCTTCAAGATCGTCGAAGAAATAGATAAGAGGACGAAGAACCTCCGGCTCAGGGCACATCTCTTTGATTTCACTGTTCTTCCTCCATTAACATATGCCTCAGAGACTTGGGCCCTACGTAAACAGGATGAGAACGCTATTTGGGTCTCCCAAAGAGGAATTGAAAGAGCTATGCTTGGAATATCACGTTTCACTCAAATGAGAGAAAGAATCCGGAATTCTGACAATCAAGAATCAGGGACGCTGTCTCGTTTGCCAAGGTGTCAAAAATCAGATGGGCTGGTCACGTAATGAGATTTAAAGACGACCGCTGGACTAGAGCTGTTACGGACTGGATCCCACGGGATGTCAAAAGACCGCGTGGCCGCCCATCTACCAGATGGTCAGATTTCTTCATCAAGATCATGAACAATTGGTTTGAGGCTCTTCATGTTCCCAGAGCGAACAGATGCCATTGGGCTACACTAGCACGGGACAGGGACAAATGGAGACATTACTGGCACCCGCTTGAGCAAATAGACGACTAACGGGAAGTTAAGTGATTAAGTGAAGTGTGTACAGAAAACTTAGAGATCCAAAAATTTTTTCTAAGTTCTTTATAGCTAAAGTGAGGCCTAGAAAATATTGATCTCTTAATTTTTTTCCAAGAAAATTTACTTTTCAGGTTAAACAAGTCTATGTGCTTTGTCAGCACAAAAAGAAAATCATATCTGGGCAATAACACTTCTATTTCTCATACTGAGAGATGTTTATAACACCTATCAATCTCTGGGTATTGAGCTTTTGGGCTTATCCTTATGGGGACGTGGGCACATGATGGTTTTGTGTGTGGGTATGTGTGTGTGTGTGTGTGTGTGTGTGTGTGCATGCACATATATCTGTCAAGGGTGTATATAAAAGAATCAGTTGAATGTTTTCAAAATATGCCTATTGTTAACTTCATTATGATGTTTCAAATATGTAGCTGGTGTGTAAAGTGTATACAAATCTCTGACATGTATGTGTGTATGTGTGTGTTTCTTACAGATTGGTGCAAGGACAAGTTCCTGACCTGTGAGTGACTTCTTGTTCTTTCTGGGAGGTCCTACTGTTGCTGCCCATACAATTCTGGTCTCTTTCATCTCTGTGGTGACACAGATGCTCCCACTATCAGTGGTGGTGTGTGGTGTGTGGTAGGTGTGTCTTATATGGAGTCTAAAGAAGTTTGCTTCATGGAGTTCACATTGATCCTTAAGGGTCTTGTGACAAATTTAACATCAAATCCCGAATCAGTATTGTGGTTCCTTTTCTTGCTTACAAGGCTTGTGTCACTAGCCCCTCATCTCAGGAGGCTAATTTCTCCATTACTTGGAGCTAAGATATGGAATGAGGTTTTGTGTGCTCCTATTGTGCTGAAGGCCTTGTGTGATTGGTACTTCTCCCTGCAGGGCCTGTCACTCTGGATCTAGGATCTGCCCATCCCAACATTGTTGTCTCTCACAAGAATAAAAGTCTGACCTTGATGGACACTAATTCAGTATCAGAAGACACACATAGCATCTTAGGCCTTGAGGGCATCACATCAGGGCACTGTTGTTGGGAGGTGGAAATCAGGAATGGAGACAGAAACATTTGGTTTCTAGGGGTCTGTAGAGAAGATGTGAAAAGGACAGGCTGGTACAACAAGTCTTCAGACAAGAGTTTCTGTGTTGGGGGGAATTTTGAAGAAGGATTTCATGCTTTAACTACTTCTTGAACTCCCCTGTTCCTTAGTTAGGTTCCCCACAGGCTGCGGATTTTCCTGGACCCTGAGGAAGGAGATGTCTCATTCTATAACATGACTGATGGCTCCCACATTTACTCCTTCTCTCATGTTTCCTTCTCTGGGACCCTCTTTCCATACTTTATGATTCACTCAGGAGCTGTGTCCCTGTCCATCTGCTCCGTGGTGGGTGGGCCTGAGCCCCCTGTGCCCATTAAGTTTTCCTTTTTCTCAGGAGGAGCCTGTGAGCTCAGACTTTGGTGTTGATGGTGCTACCCCAGGACCCAAGTCTCCATTACTCCACTGAAACCCTGAGGTCATGTCCCCATCAATGTCCCTCCCCTTACTGGTGACTCTTCCAGGAACTGCAGACCCTATTCCAAAGGCCTCTCAGTGAGTCCTGTGTGACTGCAGTCTTGCTCTGTTGCTCTGGCTGTAGACCTTACTAGGATATATATATATATATATATATATATATATATATATATATATATTTCTTTTGGGGTCACACCCAACGATGCTCAGGAGGTATTCCTGGCTCTACACTCAGGAATTACTCGTGGAACAAATGGGATGCCAGGGATTGAACCTGGTTGCCACGTGCAAGGCAAATTCCCTACCTGTACTATAATGACAGAATTATTTTTGTTAATAAAAATGGGGGTATGGGAATTTTATACTTTTGGACAAAAGTATGAGTACTGAATTACTCTTCAGAATACAAGGAAGTTGACTTGTAGCAGCTTGAATTGGTTCAGAGAAACTGAAATCAAGTGTGGGTCCTCAGTTATGTATTTGGGATCTGGGTCTGCCTAGAAAAGCTGGTCATTCAGTTTTTCTTGGGAATGAATAATAAATGGATCTTTTATAGAAGAAGAAATTCATATTTTCCTCTACTTTCTGTTCTGGCGAGAGAGAAACATCTATTTTCCCAATAGCAGTAATTTTTAAAAAAAATTTTTTTATTAGTGAAACATCATGAGGTACAGTTATAGACTTATAAATTTTTGTGCTTGGGTTTCAGTTATACAATTATCAAGTACGCATCCCTCCACCAGTTCCCATCCTCCACCACCACGGGTCCCAGCATCCCGCCCACCCCCCATGCCCCCGTCCCACCCTACCTCTGTGGCAGGCATTCCCCCTTGTTTTCTCTCTCTTCTTTTGGGTACTGTGTTTTGCAAGAGAGGCATTGAGTGGCAATCATGTTTGGTCTATAGAATACTTTTAGTATGCTTCTCCCACCCTGGGAGGGTCCTCACAACACCCTTTATTTGGTACTCTCTTCTCTATCTGAGCTTCCTTTTCACCTAGCACGTGTGGCTGGCCTTCAAGTCATGGAGCAAAATTCCTGGTACTAATCTCAGCCATTCCTGGGTGTTAGTCTCCCTTTTTGTTGCTTTATGTTCCCCAGATGAATGCAATCTTTCTGTGTCTATCCCGCTCTTTCTGACTCATTTCGCTTAACACGATATTTTCCATGTAGTACCACTTGTATGTAAATTTCATAACTTCATCTTTTCTAACAGCTACATAGTACTCCATTGTGTAAATGTACCAAAGTTTCTTTAACCAGTCATCTGTCTCGGGCACTCAGGTTTTTTCCAGATTCTGGCTATTGTAAAGAGTGCTGCAATGAACAAACAATTGCAGATGTCACTTCGACTATACCTTTTTGCCTCTCTGGGATATACTCCCAGGAGTGCTATAGCTGGGTCAAATGGGAGATCAAATTCTAATTTTTTGAGAATCGTACATACTGTTTTCCAAAAGGGTTGGACCAGCCGGCATTCCCACCAGCAGTGAGGGAGGGTCCCTTTCTCGCCACATCCGCGCCAGCACTGGTTGCTTTTGTTCTTGTGGATGTGGGCCAGTCTCTGTGGTGTGAAATGATATCTCATTGTTGTTTTGATCTGCATCTCTCTGATGATTAGTGATGTGGAGCATTTTCTCATGTGCCTTTTAGCCATTCGGATTTCTTCTTTGTGAAAGTTTCTGTTCATTTCCTAGTCCCATATTTTTTTTTTAATTTTTTTTTTATTTATTGAATCACCTTGGGAAAGGTTACAAAGCTTTCAGGTTTAGGTCTCAGTCATGCAAATATCAAACACATTTCCCTTTACCAATACTTTTTTTTTTTTACCATGAAGAACCCCAATAAAACCCCACCCCCCACCCCTCCCAGTCCCTGTGGGGCAGATGAATTCTAGTTAACACTCTATCTGCTTTGATTAGATTCATTGTTTCAATAAAAGATTCACCACTATTATTTAGAGTTTACCCCCCCCCCCCCCCAAATCAGACATGCTGAAAAAGCATTGTGACGTGATTTGCTTTCTACAGCTGGGTTCAAGAATTAAATGTTGGTTTTGGATTTCTGCTATTTTACTTATTGACCCTGGAAGTATTTATACTGAAAGTCAGATAGTTAAGAAATTGGTTTCTGTGCTCTGGAGTCGTGGCCGTGCTGGAGAGCCGCTAGTGGGGGGCAACTGGTGGCCTCGGTAGGGCGTGAAGGGCGGACCGAAACCCCCCTTCCCATGAGGTTTTAGTCGCCCCCCCACTCCCCCGGCTCATACCTGCTGTCCACAAGGCTCCCATGCGGCCGCCATCTTTCTTTCCAGAGAGGAGAAGGCGACTGGGGCAACACCCTTTCCCCTCCGGACAGACATGATGGCCTGGATTAACGCATAGTCCTTTCACTTTTCTGCTCCAAGCTGCCGGGTTCTGCATTAAGTCCCTCTGCTTCTGGGGCTGTGGCCGTGCTGGAGAGCCGCTCGCGGGGGGCAACTGGTGACCTCGGTAGGGCGTGAAGGACGGACCGGAACGCCCCCCTTCCCATGAGGTTTTAGTCGCCCCCACACCCCCGGCTCATACCTGCTGTCCACAAGGCTCCCATGTGGCCGCCATCCTTCTTTCCAGAGAAGAGAGGGCGAATGGGGCAACACCCTTTCCCCTCTGGCAGACTTGATGGCCTGGATTAACGCATAGTCCTTTCACTTTTCTGCTCCAAGCTGCTGGGTTCTGCATTAAGTCCTTGTGCTTCTGGGGCTGTGGCCGTGCTGGAGAGCCGCTCGTGGGGGGCAACTGGTGGCCTCGGTAGGGTGTGAAGGACGGACCGGAACGCCCCCCTTCCCATGAGGTTTTAGTCGCCCCCACTCCCCCGGCTCATGCCTGCTGTCCACAAGGCTCCCATGTGGCCGCCATCTTTCTTTCCAGAGAGGAGAGGGCGAATGGGGCAACACCCTTTCCCCTCCAGCAGATTTGATGGCCTGGATTAATGCATAGTCCGTTCACTTTTCTGCTCCAAGCTGTTGGGTTCTGCATTAAATCCTTGTGTTTCTGGGGCTGTGGCCGTGCTGGAGAGCCGCTCGTGGGGGGCAACTGGTGGCCTCGGTAGGGCGTGAAGGACGGACCGGAACGCCCCCCTTCCCATGAGGTTTTAGTCGCCCCCACACCCCTGGCTCATACCTGCTGTCCACAAGGCTCCCATGTGGCCGCCACCTTTCTTTCCAGAGGGAGGAGGGCGGAAGGGACCAACACCCTTTCCCCTCCGGGCAGACATGATGGCCTGGATTAACGCATAGTCCTTTCACTTTTCTGCTCCAAGCTGCTGGGTTCTGCATTAAGTCCTTGTGCTTCTGGGGCTGTGGCCGTGCTGGAGAGCCGCTCGTGGGGGGCAACTGGTGGCCTCGGTAGGGCGTGAAGGACGGACCGGAACGCCCCCCTTCCCATGAGGTTTTAGTCGCCCCCGCTCCCCCGGCTCATGCCTGCTGTCCACAAGGCTCCCATGTGGCCGCCATCTTTCTTTCCAGAGAGGAGAGGGTGAATGGGGCAACACCCTTTCCCCTCCAGCAGATTTGATGGCCTGGATTAACGCATAGTCCTTTCACTTTTCTGCTCCAAGCTGCTGGGTTCTGCATTAAGTCCTTGTGCTTCTGGGGCTGTGGCCGTGCTGGAGAGCCGCTCGTGGGGGGCAACTGGTGGCCTCGGTAGGGTGTGAAGGACGGACCGGAACGCCCCCCTTCCCATGAGGTTTTAGTTGCCCCCACACCCCCGGCTCATACCTGCTGTCCACAAGGCTCCCATGTGGCCGCCACCTTTCTTTCCAGAGGGGGGAGGGCGGAAGGGACCAACACCCTTTCCCCTCTGGCAGACTTGATGGCCTGGGTTAACACATAACCCGTTCACTTTTCTGCTCCAAGCTGCTGGGTTCTGCATTAAGTACTTGTGTTTCTGGGGCTGTGGCCGTGCTCAAAGCTTAACTATGATTTTCAGAGAGAAACGTTAGGTGGTTTACTTCCCATGGATCACTTTGTATATAGAGAGATGTTGCGCGATAAGCGGCCGCGCGGTTTTGAGGAAAAGTCCTAGTTCCCGCATACTCGAGCTGTGCTTGTAGAGGTTTCTGGTCACCGGGGTTCCATCTGGGGGAGGCGGGATGCGGTACCTACCCGATCTGGGACTTCCCGATGATCTCGGCTCTTTTTGGAACCTGTTTTTTTTTTTTTTTCCTTCGGGATCTGTGGATCCCGCCCTCCATGTTGTCCTTCTCTTCGGCTAAATGCTGTCAAGATGGCGCTGGGGGGCGGGCTGTGGGCGTGACTTCCGGAATCTGAGGTTACCTGGGAGTTGTAGTCCCGGCATTTTTGAGGAAAAGTCCTAGTTCCCGCATACTCGAGCTGTGCTTGTAGAGGTTTCTGGTCACCGGGGTTCCATCTGGGGGAGGCGGGATGCGGTACCTACCCGATCTGGGACTTCCCGATGATCTCGGCTCTTTTTGGAACCTGTTTTTTTTTTTTTCCTTCGGGATCTGTGGATCCCGCCCTCCATGTTGTCCTTCTCTTCGGCTAAAGGCTGTGAAGATGGCGCTGGGGGGCGGGCTGTGGCGTCCCATATTTTTATGGGGTTGGGTGATTTCTTCTTGTGGAGTTCAACCAGTACCTTGTATATCCTTGATATCAACCCCTTGTTGGATGTGTATTTGGTGAATATCCTTTCCCATTCTGTAGGCTGTCTTTGTATTTTGGTCACTGTTTCTTTTGAGGTGCAGAAGCTTCTTAGTTTAAGATAGTCCCATTTGTCTATCTCTGTTTTCACTTGCTCGGCCAGTGGCATGACATCTTTGAAGATACCATTAGCTTCAATATCATGGAGAGTTTTGCCGACTTTGTCTTCAATAAACATTATGGATTCTGGTCTGATGTTGAGGTCATAAATCCATTTTGATCTTACTTTTGTGCATGGCGTTAGGCTGAGATCTGAGC